ACTGTTGCTTCCTAAAGCACTCCATTTGAGCCAGGCTATGCACAGAAAAATAATCTGTTGAGACATTAGACAAATCTGCTGTTTATGCTGCATAGGTTAGTATTAAAAACTAGCACTCTGGTCTTCCTTGATTAACCAATAGCACACTTTGCAGTTTTTTCACAGCCAGAGTCTGTGACTGCTCTTGGTAGAAGAGATGAGAACACGGCCAGCTCCAACAGCAGGTTACAGTTTAAGGTAAAGTGCACAGCTGACAGCTCCTAACAGCCTATGTAACAACCAGGAGTTCAGGAAGAGGAATGTTAATCTGAAGTACTAAGCCCAGGCTTAGTGGAGGAGTAGGAGGAATTAAAAACTAATTCAATTTAAAACAGTGCTTGTGTTAAGTTCTAAAGCTGTCAGATCTATTAAGCAATGTAATTGGAATTAATGCTTGAAGAGCCAAACTATTTTTAAACTGTTTTATTCAGCTATAGTTTCTTAACACGCTTCTGAATCTGCTTCATCAATTGTTGACCTTTCCAGAAGTTAAAAACAAGCTTTGCTGCTGTCATTCCCCACTTCCTAGGAAAACAGACTGCCTATTCTAGTCATGTCAAAGTTTTGAAACAGCTTGTTGGATGGGGCTGGGAACAACCTGGTCTGGTGGAAGGTGACTCTGCCCATGACAGGGGAGTAGAATGAGATGATTTTTGAAGTCTATTCTAACCCATATGATTTTTCTATAACGTAATAAACTGTTCTGTTCACCTTAAACCTCAGTTACAAATGAAGTCTTGTTTGTACATGCAGTTAAAATTCTAAAGGCCCTGCTAATCTAAAATGCATACTTGTGTAATGAATCAAACTCCTCAGCTGTAGGACTAGACACTGCTGTTCACCAGCCCTTAAAACAGCTTTCTCTTACAGGTTTATTTTTATAGAGATAGTTTGGAAAATAGGTGGCCTTCTCCAGTCTCCTTTGTACCAGGATTACAAAGCACAGGTTTTACTTCCTTTTTGTGACATGGGAAGGGCAGCAGAGAGAGAGAGGTGTGGCACTGACTGTGTCAGTTCAGGCTACCTGAGCTCCTGCTGGGACAGATGGGGCCAGCCTGAGCCAGCATTAGTCATGGCCAGGACAGCAGCCTCCTTCAGTGCCTCCTCCTGAGGCAACAGCAACAGCTGCTGCACTGAGTCAGCCTGGAATTCCATGTTCCAGGGCTCCAGACTGAATTTACTACTGCACTTTCCTGCTGACTCAGCTCTTTGAGTCACTGGTGAGTGCCAGTCAGAAACTCCTCAGCAGCACCTTAAAGCATCAGCTGAGGCTGATCTCCCACTCCCTGGGTATGGCAACAGGGAAGTACCTGATTCTCTTCATTTTGTCCTGATTCTATTGCTAAAATCACAGAATATTCCGAGTTGGAAGGAACCCAAAAGGAACATCACATCCAGGACAGAAACCCATGAGCTTGGTGTTTTTAGCACCGTGCTGTAAACTGCTAAAGGGAAACTGAAAGCTGTCCTGGTGTGGCTACACCCACCCATCCACCCCTCTAATCCTTTCAGTGACAGCCATTCACAATTAGGAGCTATAACAACACTCACCAGATTTCAGGGTACAGTGAGAAGAGCAGTACCAGCTGTGTGTATTTACAAGACAGAACTGAAGGACTATAAAGAGATGAGAGGAAGGTGGACAGGCACCTACTTGCTTATCCAAAATTTCCAAATAACTACTTCTTGGAGAACATGGCAATCTAAAAAGCTCATTTGAGGATAAACAATTATTCTGTACCTTTGCATAACAAGCAAAAAGTCCCATAAAAAGCAATTTCAAGAGGCTGTGGATAACAGTACATGCAAAACACTGCCCAGTGTCTTGCCAGTCATGGCAAAATTTAGTTAAACAATACCAAGATGATTATTTTTGTCAGGTTATTTTCTAAATTTAATAATTACTTTATCAGAGTATAGGCTCAGCCTGTAGATTAAAAAAAAAAAGGAGAAAAACCCTACTTTCATTTCCACTGACTGCAAGATAGGGAAAGAAAAAATAAATTTGAGCATTAGGATGTGAGGTAAGAAATTTGTTTTTATTTGGGGGGCAGGGGGGAGGGTCAAAGAGGAAAAAGGCAGGAGAATACTAAACAAGATATTTTAATACTGACATTTCCCTTTACTTTAGAAACAGAAAACTAGCAGAATTCTTTTTGATCTTAGGTTCAGCATTTTTACCTCATGTCAACAAGGCCCAGGAACATTAGAATAGATTTCTAGCCCAGAGAGACTCATTCCAGCAGCAAAACTGCTGCAACTCCCCTGTGACAGCTATTTTTGTAACCCTGCAGTTCCATGAGACAACCACACTGTATTTTAAAAGTAACTTACAAATTTGAAGTTAGTTACTTAACAATGATTAACTAATTATACAGTAGTGCATTAGCCATCATAATGTTTAATTTCATAATTTAGTCCATAGCTGATGGGCTAAACAAACTTCAATGAGTTTTGCTACTGCAAAGTATTTACATGTTGCTATGTCAAACAGTGAAGCTGAGCAAAGGAAGAAATCTTTCAGGGAGAAAAAAGTGGCTGCTTATGGCCACACTGACCAAATAAAGAATTAAAAATGCAGTGGGACAGCAAAGCATCATTAAACTTTATTAAGTGTTGAAGACCTTTATTTTTTTTTTTAAATATATAGAGCTGTCTGAGACAATGAATTGGTGAACAAGCAAAAATAATACTAAATTGCAAAAATCCAAAAAGCTTACATTTAGCAGAGGCTCTGTTTTAATTACAGGATTAGGAGGAATAAATCTGGCTCTGTTATGGGTACTCCCATGTCCTGCAGGCTTAACGAACATCTAAGGGCAAGAGTTTGATTTAAACCCAGAGAACAGAACCTGATCAGGCACCGTGAGTTCCTACAGAAATAACACTTGGATCCCCTTCCCTAAAATTAAAATTAGCTTTTCTAGCTGTCTTGAAAATGGTCAATTATAACTTCAATGTAACTAAAATGTGGAAATGCTTTGCAAGGCAAACAAATGGCAGGGTGAAATCTTCTGAATTAGAGCTTTGAGCAAGAGGTGATGACCCAAGAGTCTCACTTGGGTTATTTCTGCCCAAAGCACTAGGAAGTTTCAGATCTAAAGATAGCAGAAAAGCAGCACTGCTTCCTTCAGGCTCCACAACTAACCTGCTTTGTCCTACTGTGGCCATTTATGGGAACACATAATACAGCAGAAAGTTAAATGCCCACTTGGAATGCGTAACTCCAGTTCCTGCCATGCTGAAACACTTCATGCTCAGGGTTTCAGTGGTGTATTCTTGCTTAAGACCCAAAGCACAGGGCTTAAACAGAATAGCAGGAAGGGTGTGCAGACCAAATCATGGCTTAGCTCAGTCATCCCTCCACCCAAGGAGTGTTTTAGAAGTACAGATCCAATGATGACACAAGAGTAGCCTGTTCAGTAAGATGCTTTCTCCTTAAGTCTCACACATCCACTGGCTGTTACTCAGCACCTGATGAGTCACTACTCTGCTGTTCATTAAGGCTGGGTATGTCACATTCCTTGTTACAACTATCTAAGTGAGCAAGTCCACATACAGCAGCTTTGCTCCAGAGAGTTAAGAAGGGGACTAGGTGAACTGCAGGTGACAAATTACAAAACAATACACTCCAGTATCTGATTCACTTACATCCATCTCCCCGACTGCACCAGGGCAGATTTTAGAATAGGAAAGCGCACTTGCAGAGTTTAAAAAGCAAGTTTAAGCTATTGCATCAAGATAATTAATTTTATGCTACTTTAATATGGCCATAAAAGTTACTGGCTTGGATAATATCCTCTTTACAACTGCTAGTACTGCTGATGAAATGATGGCAAGATTGTTAGAAATAACCCATATGTGAAATTTCCTGTGTGGCAGACATCCACGAGGCCATCTCCAAAAGAAATAGTACCCATCTGTATTTGGTGCTGACTCTCAGAAAGGAAACATTCCAAGCAGAATGTGTCTCATGCAGATCTGAAGTATGCCAAGCATTGGGTCATTCATTTGTAACTTCTCATCACCAGAAATAGCTGGATGGCCTGAGGTTAAAGCCCCACATGCTGAGAGTGTGACTGTCCATGTGGATGCAGCACTGCTTGGGATGTTCTCTGACTGTGCAGTCCCAAGCACCCTTAAGGAAGGAGATTTGGAATAACTCCAGGACTGTTTTGCAAGTCTCTTCCTGAAGATAAAACCACAGCCATAGAAGGGAATGCAAAACAGTGAGTTCAGTAACGCATCTTTGCATGACCTTAAAATGAAGTACACAGTTCAAAGATTACAAGGAGACAAATAGTTTTGATTGTCATGACAATTCTGACGCTGTAATTGCACAAAAAATTTCAGCACAGAGTCTGTTCTCTCCCCCTCATTTTCTTCTTTCAGTTGCATGTCTGTAAGACAAGGACCAGCTTTTCCTCTGCCCACCAGTTTTTCAAGTTGCATGCAGCAAGGAAGTTACTTGTACTTAAGAACTGAGAGCTATTTTGAGATGCCAACTGCCTGTAACTTTCCATTATAGAGCATCTTGCTGTCTATCATGTCCAATTACCCAGAGTTGCAGAAAACAAGTGGTAGCAGAGTTAAGTCTTGCCTTACTGTAAATACATTCTAGTATTTTAGAACATAGGCTCTACAGTCAAGCTCAAACCAAGTCTCCTATTTCCAGATGGATGCAGCCACCCCCACACAGTGCTCTTTCATCTTCAGTACATTGCTATTAAAGGACTCTGAAACAGTTGTTTAAAAATGGTTCTTACGAGTTGCTGTGCCAACCAAAAATGGACAACTAGAATGAAGCAGGCAGCAGCATCACACAGTTTGTAGTCCAAACACATGCATGTCTTCAGATAGGAAAAAACTGCAATCCCCTGAAGTCTCCCCCCAAACCAGTGTAGGAACTGCCCACTGAAAATACCATTTTAGGCAATGTGATAAAACCAGCCAATCAAGGGTTTAGAAAGAACATGATGTGCTTTATTGCTGCATAAAATTAGATATAATTTGGTACACATATTGTCTGCATATCCAAAATCAGTCAAGAGGATTCCAATTTCACCAGATTAAGAGTAGGCTCAATTACAGTGAATTCACCCAAAAACTGATGTATTCCAAACACACATATCTCCCCAAAACCCACCCAAGTGATGCCTAAATTTTTTGTAAGTTAAAATGTATCTTGTTTGTTGGGATTTTAGAAAAGCAGGACATCTGCTCCTTTCATTACATTCAGAAAGAACAGAGACCTATTCCATTGGACTACATTAACAGGTGACAAGAACAGCACAGGAAGCAGCAGCTATTTTAGCAGAATGTTCAAAGCTGTTTCAATTCTAACCCCAGGTGTTCCCAGTAGACAAATTCCATCAAGTGAGAGCTATTTCCCCCAAACACTTTCCTATGTTCATCAGGAATAGAAACGAGTCTGCAATGCTGTTTGAGGCAGAACTAAAATGCAGCTAAATGTGTTTTCCATCAGTTGGTTTAACAAGAGCTGCTTCCCCCAGCCAAGTGTTTGTGTCTATCTTTACAGCAGTTGTATCCTGTTGTGCTGCCTGCAAGGACTCACTCTCACAAATACATCTTCTATTGATCCAGAATAATAAAAACCTCTAAAAAGCCATGCATTTTGCTCTGTCAGAGTTCTGAATGTCGCACAACACAGCTCTGTTTATAGCTGTAGCTAATAAGGTGACACTACACAGGAGCACTGCAGGGGAAAGCACATCCCTGAAGGTATGAACTCCTGGAAACAGCACAGTCTGGCAATTAATTCACAGGCTTAGTGTTGATGGAGCAGCCAGCTCCCTGGCCACCTGGAAATGAGCTATCTGGAATAATGTCCTCCAAAAGACACACACAAATGAAAAATAACTTTGGAAAAGATGGCTGAGCAGGAAAAAAAAATCAGAATTTAATCAGTGGCTGAACTGTAGATTCTTTGCAACAGCAGCTACTTACAGCTCAGAACATTTAATTCGGAAGACTGAGGGCATTAATACTTTTAAAGAATCAATACTGACCAACTGCAGTCTTATTAGTTGAGGCTGAAAAGTAAATTAACCTGCAGTGATTGAAATAATTTGGACAAGCAAAAGCCCTGGAAGAAAGGCCATGTAACCACTGCTGTCACCAGATTTCTTTTGCTGAGCAGTCACGCTGAAGAGCAGTGCTGCTGCTTCCCTCTTTGTGCCAGGCTGGTAGTGACACTCAGACTGCAGTGACACACACACTTCAGGGACACACACTCTGCTTCTGGAGGGTGACAAGGGAGGATTGTGAATCCATAGTCCTGATCCTGCTGGATCACTTTGCTCTACACTCTGCATCTGTAACAATAAAGTATTTTAACCACCAGCTTATCAGTGCTGGCAAACCTGAGACAACCCTATTCTGGCAGGTGGACCATATCTAAGGACTCACTATCAATGTTAGAACCCTGTTCTTTATCTCCACAAGTATGGAAAGATGTATTTTAGTAAAAATCTGAACTCTGCAAGCCACTTGCACAAGCTTTTTCAGACACTGGTATATGAGAACATGGTTCAGAAGAGCTTTATTTCCTTCTAGTCCTTTTTTCCATGGCTATTGCTGCAGCAAAAAGTCTTACCAGGAGGCAGTGGGAAAAAAAAAAAATCAGTCTAAGATACAAACTAGCAACAGGTAGGCTAAAAGGATAAACAGGGAAGATTGCCCATGACAGATCATTCAAACTACCAAAAAAAAAAAAGACCACCCTGAATCTAACACAGGTAAAGAAATTAATCCAGCCACAGTTAGTTCTTTATACCAAAATGAAACACCCATTTCAGCTCTCCAGTCAGCAGCAGCTCACATCTTAGCTATGGGCAGCATTAGGCACCTCTTCAGTAAACATTTACTCCAGTGTGATATCACAAAAGGCTGAAAAAGTGCCCACACTGTTGCTACAAAGTAGATCTTAGAAGTTAAACATTTAAGGAGGAGTATCCTCTATTTCAGCATTTTAATTTACTCAGAAGACTGCACAAAGTTTCTTCAAATACAACATGCAGAACTTCAAAGACTTTTTCTCCTGTTGGTTTTCATAGCAATGAAAAAATTGCCACTCCCAAACCCACATGAATTTTGCTTTCAAGTTTTACTCTGTACATTTGATTTAGATGGGAGTTTACTAAAGTAGCAGTAATTATAAGCTAGAGATTTGACTCTGTTAGGAAGAATATAGACTATTTAGAGATTCAGGTGTAAGTTTAAATGTTTTCCATTTAAGTTTATTTCAAGAACATAAAATGTATTCAATCTGTAGATGGGTAACTGACTGTATTTACTGACAAAATCACTCTTTCAATTCTATTAAAAAAACATCTTTTCTCCCCTTGAAAGATAAAAACTTCTACAGCAAAAGAGTTTACATCAGGAATAAGGTTTACACCTCAGAAGCCAAGGAAAAGAGGCTGCATGCTGCAGAGATAATTTGAAAGCCCGTTAAAAAGCATAGAGAGTTAAAAAAATTTAAGTTTACAATGCTGGAATGGTTGATGCACTGATGCAGCCTGCACATTCACAGGATACATTTCTGTACTAACCACTGTCTTGTGCCTGCCATGAAAAATGTTATTCAGAAAGCATGAAAGAGAACTGACAGGTAGATGTAGAGAACTGATCCTTCACCTTTACTGCTGGCATCCAAAGTGTTCTTTTGAAAAATATGTAAGAACACTCTCCTTCAGCAGCTGTGTGAGCAGTGCTACTCAGAACAGTAACTAAATTCTCATTTTACTTCAAGCACCTACTTCCAAGTTTTGAAAGACAGGCTGATCACTTGATTGCAGGTGATGACAGAATCCTTTGCCACATCTAAATTAAAGCTGCTGCACAAATCTTCAGCTTCCCTGCAGTGCTGTGTAGTTGTTTTGAAACACTGCATGACTTCCCCAGGATAGCTGTAACTATCGTCACCAATGTGAACCTGCAGTCCTGAGAAATAATACCAGAAATTCAGTGTATTTGTAATCAAATTCCATATCCCACATGCCTTTATTAGACAAAAAAATAAAAATTAAGCATCCATATTCAGATAACACCACGTGCCAAAACATGCAGAAACTGGCTTTAGAATCCATGCTTGAGTAAAGCCTGGCAATAAGCATGTAGTTCCTAAATTAGCCAACATTAACATTTGATACAAATATGTCAGCTATCATAAAATTACATACCAGAAAGAATAAAAATAGCCTCTTACAACATAGCTCTTGTTCTGTCCAAACACAAGATTACTAAATCAGTCATAAAACAAGCAACATTTTCTGTCTGGCATTAAAAGATTGCCTGATAGATGCCACAGCTCAGGGGCTGGGGGGAAGCAGCAGCTCCAGCAGCTGAGAACTGAAATTGCTCTGGTGGTGCTGCGCTGCCAACAGCACCCTCAGTGAATGCATCAGTGATTCCTGCACACGCTGCAACAAGTGGGATTGCAGCTCAGATCTGCAGCCACAAAGCACAACGAAGTCTGGACATCGTTGATTCAGGAAAAATGGGGCTGCTCCTCTCTGGAGAACACTGAGGCTGCTGCCAAGAGCTTGGCCAGCTGAGCACAGATCACTTTACTGGTGTTACTGGGAAAAGCAACTACAAAGTGAGTATTACATTTGAAGAACTGGGAGAAACCCCAGTTCTGAGATTTTTCTCACATAAGTATTTCTGACAGTGCTCTACATCCTAAATATTTTCATCATTACTCATGTCCAGAAGCTACTGCACTGCTGCAAAAGATCCCTAGAGCAGATCCAAGAAATCAGCACTGAACTTCAGTGGAGAGAATGCATCAATGCAGGCTTCCTGAGGGCTGCCAGGCTTTGTGTCTTCTCCAGTGGGAAACCTCACAAGGCAATGATTTTAATCAGCATGAAGTTATATTTGAATAATTAAATGTCCATTTTCTGAACTTGAGGACAGAAATGTCCCAGAGCTGGGGAAAATGTAAGCATTTAACATTAACAGGTTTCATTCCAGTTGGTTTGGGTTTTTTTTTCCCCTCTCTCACATAAATGATTATAAAAATGAAGGAACTTAATGCTGATAGTTTAAAAGTGAAGCACAATTTTCCCTGTAATCAGGAAAGGTTTGATCTTCCATTTTTATACCAGCTATTACTGGCTGAACTTTTTTTGCTGTCAACATCACATTTATTGGGATTTTTTTTCTCTTTATACCTGCATTTCACAGCTTCTTACCATGCTCCTCTGAGCAGTTTGCAATCACTGAGATAGTAAAGCTTTATGGGAAGCATGTGACCTTAATTTGTACAGAAATACTGCACTTCCACACAGACAGAGGATCTGCAAAAGTGTTGCCTATTTAACTACAGAACAGAAACAGCAAGGGGAAGAGCATTAAAAAAAACCCAATGAAAACAGAAATAAAAGCTAAAAGTCTCCTGAACAGCTGCAAAGTCTGACAGAGTAGCACTGTACTTAATTACATAAAAAGACACTCAAAAATAAGATCCAATAATATAATTTTTAATATTAGTACAGTATTTTGGCTGAAATTTTACATGTATTCTGAGTTCTTTTATCTACAAAAAAACTGCAGAATGTCAAGAGCAGTATGTGATTACTGAACAGAATAAAACCATCTTACTTCTCCCAGAAGTTTTCTTACTTTATCTTGATCTGAAGGAAGCCACGTGATACATTCAACAGTTACTTATTCTGCTGTTCTTATAAAGAGACCTGTAAGATACAGACATTCCTAAGTTTGCTCTTTCTTATCACGTGCAACATTTATGGAAGACTTTGGGCAAGATTTCAGTATATTCTGCAACTAATACACCAAACACATTTTCAAGTGTTTAAGTGTATTATATTTACTAATTTACTTACAGCCATCACTTAGAATTCCACATGACCAATGACCAGTGTCATTCTCAGAGTGCCTTAATGCTTTTAATTGTTTTTAAATTAAGAAGCCTTTAATTTGCTCAAGCTAAGACTCAAATGCATTTCCCCAGGCAGATCTCCCGTGCTGCATCTACAAGACCTTTGGTACTAACAAAGTACAGATAACACAAGTACTGCTGCTTTGAACAGCAATCCAAAAAATGAAATGTTTCTCCTTCACAGGTGTCTGTACTGAGAGATTAGATACTAAAATGACTTACTGTGATTGTCCCACTCTAGAGCTTCTCAGCTGTTAACTCTGTGCAGTTAAAACAACAGGCCATGATAAAAAGGCTCACCAAAGTCACCTCCTTTGCTCAAGTCTTCCACTCCTTTCCACAGTGTCACTGTAAGGGTTTGCACAGGGGGATGGGGCACAGTGCAAAGATCCAGCACAGCCAGGATAGCTTCAAGTTTCAGGGCTGCTTAACAATGACTTTTGGGATGAAAAAATTCAGTATCATGGATTAACTCCTGGGTCCTGAGGTTCCTATTCCAATGAAAAGATATTTAAACCAAAATTAGACTCTTTTCCTGCCTTGCCAAAAGCACAGTGTTCTCTTTCCATGACACCAGACATCATCCCTAAGCTGCATGAGAACATTTGTGCTGTGCTGAGCTGCTCACTGAGCATTAAGTGCTTTAAATACCATAAAAGAACAAGTCACCTCTTCTGCTCACTGGCTATACAGAAATAAAGTCCATTTGCTCACAGCAGCTCGGTGAGTGATGTGCCATGAGCCTCCCTAATTGTGCTGGCTGTAACAGATACATTCACAGGGGCAGGATTTTTATGCTAGAAATCAGGAACAAGACCGATTAGTTTAATCACAAACTGTTATTTATTGAATGGTTCTACACTCAGTACAGAGATACAAACCGTGCCTCAGGAAAGCTCACAGTCCAAGCCAGGATTTGCCCAACACATTCCAAAGAGAGATCAGAAGTTCACATTCAAATGGATTTTTGGAAGTTTTGTTAACATTTTGGTTAGACATAATATATTCTACGTCACAGAGTCAGAGAATGGTTTGGGTTGGAAGGAACCTCAAAAACATCATCCAGTTCCACCCCCTGCCATGGGTAGGGACACCTTCTGCTATTCCAGGTTGCTCCAAGCCCTGTCCAATCTGGCCTTGGACACTGCCAGAGATCCAGGGGCAGCCACAGCTTCTCTGGGTAACCTGTGCCAGGGTCTCACCACCCTCACAGGGTAGAATTCCCTCCTCATACAGAAACTCGACCTGCTCTCAGTCAGTGCAAAACCATTCCCCCTTGTCCTGTCACTCCATGCTCTTGTCCAAAGTGCCTCTCCAGGTCTCTTGTAGGTTCCCCTCAGATAGTCTCCAGTTTATCCACTGCATGAAACAGAACTACAACACAGAATCAAAGCTCCCTCAACACTATGTCTCAACCTTTAGACATTTTGTAGAGATCCTCAACCATTTTTAGTATTTATATATATTATATATTTATATGTAATCCAGATCCAAACACCAGAATTCCAGACCTTTCCTCCATGTCAGGTCTTGCCTGCAGTCAATTCAAGTTTTGTGTACCTTGTGAATTATTAAACCTTCAGAGCTTACCTGTACCACACACCTCACTTAACTCCCTAGAGAACTCTCCCATTACTTGTCACTTTCCAAAGCATCGGACTTAATAGACAAAAAAAATAAAAAAATACAAAAGCCACCTTCAAAGCAGAACTTACTTGGGAACCATACCTAAATTAACCATGTATTTCTGTCAAATTAACACAATAGTCCCCCCGCGGTTGCTTTAGGTAACCCTGAGAGATGCCTTTTAGTTCACAGCGAGCACTGTCAAACAGATGCTCATCACTCTGGAAAAAAAAAATATGGATCCGTTGCTTCAGAATAAAAACTATGGATCTGTATTATCATAAACTACAGAACAAATTCTGTATAATATGTCAAAATGTGAAGCTAACGCTAAAACATACGGTTGTATCATAGGCTTCGGTCTGTAACTCCTACTTACGTCAAAGCTTGTCTCTAAGACCAAACTCTCTCAAAGGACTCCGCTAGGTGCAGGTATCCCGCCTCGTAAGGCCGCACCTCCAGGACCACACACTACAACACCCCCACACCCGTCCCAGAAAAAGCCCTCAGCCTCCTCCACACTGGTCATCCCCGTCCTTGCTGCGTCTTCCTGCAGAGGGAACCGTGGGGAAGCGCTCGAGCAGCAAGAGCCGGTCGCGTTCCCTCCCCACACGCGTCACGGGGATGATGAAGGGCGGCGGAGCTGCGCCCTCCCTCGCGGGAAGGCGGCGCGGGCCGGCAGCCCCTACCTGCACCCCGGGTGTGTCTCTGAGGGGCGCTCGAGCCGCTCCGGCGGCTCCGCGCCCTCACGGCGGGCGGTCCCGGCGCCTCCATGGC